GCAAAAAGAATGCTCCAAAAACTTTAAAAAACACTTTTTTTGCTCAGCCCACTGCCTCCAGCTCTGCCGGACTGCCTTCACCCTCCTGTGCTGGAATTCACTTTGCAGAGGGAACTGCTCCCAGCAGGGGCTGGACGGGGGAAGTGGGATGGAAGCAAAATGTAAAGCAAAGAGAGACGAGTCCCTTTCTCTGTGACTGTGTCTGTGTGTCTGTGTCTGTGCGTAAGAGGGGGTCTATACAGCCCACCTGCTGCAGCTTTCCCTGTACCATACACCCATCCTGATGGAGGGGGAACAGGCTTTTGCCTGGGATGTTTTTTGTCCTGCTGAATGGAAAATAATCCTAGCAACATCCATGAGCTCTCCACGGCCATGCAGAGTTTTGTACTATTTTGGGGTTTGAGTTGGGTTGGTTTTTTCCTGGTGTTCTTTGGGGTATCAACTGCGTCTGATGGTGCTGGGGGACTGAGGACCCCCATAGGAGCTGGGAACCTCTGTGAACTCCCAGACACTTGACCAAGCCCCCACAGTACCAGGCTGTGATTGTAAACGGGTTAAAGAGGGACAAACTCATTGAAATGAATGTTTTGGGGCATTTCTGCTTATACACCCCCAGTGAGAGCACTGGTGATAAAACTGCTGTGAGCACACAAGGGGAGGCTGGGCTGGGGGGGGTGTGTGTCCTTTGTTCTGTGCCTCAGTTTCCCTGTCTGTGCGCTTCACTCTCCCTGCCTCCTGCTCTTCGCTGCAGTCCCTCTGTGCACAGACAAAGGCATCAGCCCAGAGGATCAGCTTTTCATTAGGGCACCAGAATCCAGCCACAGATTGTCATTAAGCTCTAATTAGATGAGGGGACTCAGGTTAAGACAGAGGCACCTCTCTCACCGCTGCTGTGAGCTTATGCCAGGAGAGAGGGGGAAAGTGACTGCTCTCCATAGCTCAGTGTCCCTGGGACAGCAGGAGACATCAGCCAACAGTTGATGGCAAATTTGCCACCTTCATGGTGGCAAATGCTCTCAGATTTGCCTCACTGAAATGAGGGAAGAGCAAACATCCCCTCCTCTCCTCCAGCTTTTTTAAGCTACCTCCAAGCCGGCTGCACTCAGCTTCCCTACTGCAAAATCAGCACGGGGTGGCAAAGCTGATGCCACCCAGTGCCTGGGTGCCTGCTGGTAAAGCAGTAGGTGCCCAGCACACAGCCAGAGGGAGAAGCAAAGGTGTCAGGGATCTTTTCCCCTCCTTGTGGGATCAGCTTGTCCCCATCTCCCACTGCTTTTCTCTTCTGCTAACCCTCCCAGATTTCAAATTTGGGAGAATTTTCAGGGCACTTTCAGACAATCTGAAGCTTAAAGTCAGCCCTGACCCTTCTCCCCACCCCAGGCTGGTTTCACTGAGCAGTGTTGGCTTTGGTGATGGTGACATCAAGAGTACAAAGCATCCACTTCAGCCCCATCCTGCCCTGGATGAGCACCATCTGGAGAAGGTTTCACCCCTGCAGTGCCTTGCCCTACTGCAGGATCATGCCCTGGGTTTCTCGGTGGCACCTGCATTCTCACAAAGCAGCAAGCGCGCTGCCTGCATGAGACCAGCCCTGCAGGGGCCAGGGACCAAGTGCCGCCCCAGGGCAGAGAGCAGGACCTGCGTCCTTGTCTCCAGCCAGCACCAGTGCTTGCTGGACCCGGAGATGCCCCATCTTGCTCTCCTCATGCTTGGAGGTGGGCTTGGTGGCTAACCTTGGCACTTGGGCTGATCCCTGTCTTTGCATCAGGCTTGCGCTCACTATTTGCACCCCAGTCTGCTGGAGCAGAGCAGTACTGAGGTGCGCGGCTGAGGGCAGAGCCATTGCTATTCCATAGAGACTCATCATGGTCATGCAGAGACTGGGAGAAGCATCCTTCAGATCTGATGAAAAAAGGCACCGACCCATTCCCGACGTGCCGCATTGCAACGAGGGAGCTGAAAGTGGGGCTGGAGGGAGCCGCAAACAGGGCAGGGATTGCAGAGGCACTGGAGAGCTCCCCAGGATGTGGGCTCCTCTCCAGGATTGCAGGGCAGTTTCCCGGGCACACCAAACCTGGGGCAGGCACCGATCCCACTGCTGGGAGCTCCGGGAAGGGCTGGCAGAGGCAGCGGGGCTGGCACAGCTGTGTGGCTTTCAGAGATACTTGATCGATAGCTTCGTCTTCACCACCCCCATTCCCCCAATCCCCACATGCATTTTTCATGCTAACCCCTCCTGGGCAAAGGCTGTCTATGCAGGAAGAGAAAAAGAGAAAAAATATACAAAACACAACAAACCACAGCCCAAATCTACTTCTGTTTCGCTGGTCCCTGGAGGTTGCTTTAGTTTAAGGGCCAATCTATAGATCCAAGATAGGGAATATCTTTGCTCTTTGAACAAATAGGCATGAAAAAGCTCCCTGGGGCTTTTCTTCAGCTCTTCAGGTTGGCCCAGAGCTGGGAAAGGCCAGGTGTGATTGTACAACATAGTGTGGGCAAGCTGGGGAGGCTGAGATCGGAGCTGGGTGCTAGGGAGCAGTGGGGAGCAGTGGGGAGCAGTGGGGAGCAGTGGGGAGCAGCAGGGGCAGTGGGGAGCAGGAGGGGGTCCACAGCTGCCCTCTCCCGGGTGCAAAAGGGTTTTGGGGTGCCTCGTCCAGCTCTGAGTCCATCCATATGTGCAGAGCTGGGTCTGGGGTGATCCCAGGAAGCCAGTAGATCCATGGGCTTGTCCTGCCTGGCCCCCCAGGACTGAAGAGCTCAGGTGAAGGTTTGGTATTTCCTCGAACTAGGAGCAAAACCACAGGGTTTGAGCAAAGGGCAATTTTCAGGGTGAATCCCCTTTTCCTGTCTTTGTTGTCTGGGAGGGGTATTCCCTTTTTGCTCCCCATTTTTGGGGGACACCAGTAAGACCCAGGAGCATCCCACAGCCCATGCTTTGCCAGCGCTCCCATAACTCTCCCTCCCATCACCAGAGCCAGCCCAGGCTGTGCAGGGATGCTGAGAGCCCCGGGCAGCTGCCTGCCTGTGTGTGTGTGCTGAAGGACTGATCCCATGGGCAGGGCTTGGCTCTTCCCAGGGTCCCCCATTCCCATGCTCCCCACTGCACCCCTGTCACCCCACACCAGGCACGGGCTGCTTCATCCCCATCAGCTTGGGAGCATGTCTGTGCCCATGACACCCAGGGCCAGACTCCTCTCACAGAGGAGACTCCAGCAGCATCGTGCACACTGCCTGCATCCCAAAATTCCCATTATTTCCCAGCGTTGGGGCTGAAGGTGACAGCACCAAGCTCTCATTGCCCCACAGTAGGTGTCCTGGTCTATAAGGATCCCAGCCAGCATGGGCAGCTGGACAGCATCTCCCTGCAGCATTCCCACGCACAGCCAGGACCGAGGGTCAGGCGTGCGGCTGCAGCGAGATGCCATGTCCGGGTCCAGCTTCCTGGCTCTGATGGTGAAAGGGCACAGGCCAGGAATAGAAGTGGAGAGGAGGACACGGTGACCTTTCCAGTGACAAACAGAACTTTCTGGCTACCTGCAGGAAGGTGCAGGGCAGGCTTCCCGACCGAGCAGGGCAGCGAGTGCTGCAGTGCCTGTGGGGAACCCTGGAATGAACCTGCCAGTGCCTGGCTCCGGTGGTTGTACAGCTCCAGCTTCAGATGCATGGTGGGCTCTGGCCATGGCTGGGAGCTCTCAGGACGCTTCTGGAGGTGAGCAGCGAGGGAAGAGGGGATGGTGCTGCCACCAGCATGACGGGTCAGGGCCACCTCCAGCCCCATCTCCTAACAGGCTCCTGGGGCTGCTGCCTTTGCGACACCCCTCCAATACAAAGATGCTCCCCAGCTACAGGCCACCTCTGCTCAAGGGGACATCAGAGCAGCAGGGAGTGTGACAGTGCAGCCCCCCAGGGGGAATGCGGTGCATCCTGGCTCCCCACCAAAGGGGACCCCACCAAAGGGGACCCCAGGATTAATCAGTGTGGGAGCTGCATCCATCCCCTCCTTTTCCTCCTGCTAGCTGCCAGCACCCTCAATGGAGAGAGGCAGCCATGCTTCTTCCCATCATCCCCCCCCCCCCGTCCCCCCCCGTCCCCTGCTTGGTGGGTGGGTGGGGGACAGCAGCCACCTTCCCCTGGCAGATGGCATGGGCAGCCAGCACACGTGGCCCTGTGCCACAGCAGATTGGGGCCGGCTGCCTGCAAAGTGCCCGCAAAGGGAGGGATGTGTCCCCAACACAGCTCAGGGACAAGAGCAAAGCCAGGGCACCCCCCTGTGGTGCAGAGCCACTCGGGGGGGGGGGGGCAGTGGGGACAGATCCCTCCACTGATGTGCCCAGAACACTGTGAAATACCAAACGCAGGATTCACCCAGACGACATGGAGATGTCAACAGTGAGGGGGGACACAGGGTCCCCTTGCTTGGCCCCAAAGAGATGAGCCAGGCCAGGCCATCAGGCAGTTGAGGAGGGTCTGATTTTAGGTCTGACCATGCCATGCAGGTCAGCCCAACACGGATGTCTGGAATGGATCCAGCATCTTGCAAGGGGTTTCTCAGGCTACAGCTGCCCCTGGTCTCTCCAGATAGGGCCAACAGTTAGGTGGGTACCAGACACCAAAACTGTGTGTCCTGGAGATCACTGTTGCAGGAGAAAGGGACCTGCAACGGCGGAAGGGGGCACCCAAGGTCTGAATCACCCCCGGGGTGAGGGGCTTCTATCTCTCTCCATGGTGCTCAGTCCCACACAGGGATCAGGGCATGAGCTCCACGATGGGCACAGGGTGGGGATGACGGTGGAGATGTCCCAGCTTGAGGGGACACATTGCATCGTGCAAAGGGGGTGCATCTTGTGCTGGAGATGTGGTGCAGGAGCTGTCAGGGCAAGGGCTGGAGCAGGTAAATTATTAATACTGGAGAAAACCAGGCTGGCGCCCTGCCCGCCACCCGTCCAGAGGAAAAGCTGATGGTGGGAGCGGAGTTTTCACGTCCAACCTTCTCCTCTCTGCTGGGGGGCTGAGGGCTGGAGCAAGGAGCCAGCCCTGAGCCACACACGCACCCAGCCCCAAACCAGCCTCTTGCCGAGCACGTTCTCCTCCAGCCCAGCTGGTTTTGCTCCCAGCCTGCTCCGTCTGTGCACATTAAAGCGTTTTCTAGGTCTGAACTGCTTTTGGCAAGCCGGGCTTCTCTTGGCCTGTCCCTCTCCCCACCACCCTCCCCATGGTTGGCTCCCCCCATCCGCTCCCGTCTGGCTCCCGCTCCCCCTCCCCGGTCGAAGCCCTGCCAGGGCCATGGCAAATCAGCGAGAAGCCTGCGGGGCAAATCGGTACAAATGAGACCAAGCAAGAGGGTGGGGAGGGACGGTGAGGGAGGGGGGATGGCTCCTGGGCTGGCTCTTCTGTTCCCGAGTTTGATGTTTCCTGCAAACAACCCTGTAAATGCTGAGGAGCGGCTTCAGACGTGACCGGCCCCCAGCCTCGGTGGGGCTTGGGTTCCAGCCCGGGGGAAACCCCTCACCCCGCAGCCTCCTGGCCCCAAGCAGGGATCCAGCCGGGACGGGAAAGGGGGACAAGCTGTAAGTCCTGACATTTCAATCTAGTTTGGTGCTGGAATGGGGCGGGCAGCGGGTGGAAGCTGCTGACGGCAGCTGGGGTCTCACCGCAGGTCTGGGCTGGGGAATAGAAACCCACTAAGGACCTGGAGGTGGGGATATTCCACCTGCTCAAAACTGCCTTCTCCCATTGATTTTGCACTCTCACCACTCATCCCATGGTGCCTGGGTATGCCGTGCTGCAGCCAGGGGGGCAGGAGCTGATGCCAGGACATGGGATGTGCAGACTGTGGGAATGGGCTGAGACATCACCGTGTGCAGGGACACGATCATTTGCAAGGGATGCTCCTTGCTCCAACTCAGCAGGCTCTTTGCAAAGCTTATTAAAGGCGCTCAGCACCAGGGAGGTCATATGGGGCCTTTCTGCTTGGGTTGCTCTCCTAATGACATGTCCCATTGCCTGCACTGTGAATTTGCTCACGTGAGTCTCTGACAATAGGAAGTTTGGGGCAGATTTTGGATGCTTTTCCCACAACCGTGTGGTGGGTTAGAGAGGTCTGACTTTTCTTCCTGCTGGAAAATGAAGTGATGTGTCAGGAGCCTGGGCAGGTGCAGAGCATGGGTTAGTTTTAATGTATCATCTCTGTGTTGGTACAGGAATCACAGAATGATTAGGGTCGGAAAGAATCTTAAGATCATAGTCAAGAAAAGCAACGGAGACATGATAAGTATTTGCCATTGTGAAAAAGAAATAAATGGAGGGGAAGGGGGAAATTTAGCAGTAAGACAATATTATCCACAATTTTTTTCCCCTCTAAACCCCTCTTAGCGGAAGTGAAAAATAAACTGAGTGGCTGAATTAATTGTTGCAGATTAGTTATTGAAATGCTTAACGGTGCCAACCAGGAATAAAACTCCTCACACCAGAGAATGCGTGTTTACAGATATTTGGGTAATTAAAGCAAGAGGTCATGTAACGAGGAGCAGCTCACAGCAGTCAGGGCCTTCTTAAAAACAAAAAGGCAAGGAAATGGGGTCAGAAAGTCACAGATATGCAACGTGGTGTTAGCAAATCCTGGGACAGACATGGGGAGAGGTTTGCAGTGTCTGTTGTGTGCTGCCTGCATCCAGCTCTCATCCTGTCCTGCTTTTCCACCTCCACTGGGAGGATTTGCTTCCCCTCTGTCAAATCTGGGATGGGAGGTGGTGGGTGCGTCAACCCCCATCCCCTTGGGTCTTCTCACCCTTTCCTGGAGCCCCCCTGGTGTTCCAGAGCCTTGCTGGACCTGCAGGCAGTGGGGGAACCCCAGCTTGAAAGGGGAGCAGACAGAAAGTCACAGCCTTCCTGCACATGCATCCCGGGCACTTCCACAGTGGCTGCTCCCGATATCCCTGGCCTGGCACATTCCAGTGCTGCCAACTGCAGTGCCATGCAGCCCGGGACTCGCAGGACCTGTGGCACAGCACAGGTTAATGAGCTGCATTCCCACTTTATCCACCAGCTAACAGCATCCCTGTCTGAAGTCCCAGTGGCTTTGCCTCAGGTGATTCTTACTCCTGCTGGTCATTCCTTGGCTAGTACAGACCTCACTGGGTGATTTTGTGTCCAAGTGCTCCCTGCTCTGCTCAGCCTCTGTGGCATCCCTTGGCTCCCATCACCATCCTGCAGAACAAATGGTGCCCACGGTGAGGGACCAGGGGCTGAGATGCTCTCCCATTTTTGGGCAGTGAAGGAGCTGGCAAGACAGGGATCAAGAGCAGTGGGCAGCATCACTCTGGGAGCCACCTTGATCTGCATTAAGAAAAAACAACCAAACACCCTCATCAAGCACCAGGCAGAAGGCAGAGAAGTCTCTGCTGCCTGCAGGGGAGCCTGCAGCATCACAAATGTTCCTGCCTGAGACTAAATACATCTTCTGGGGAGAAATCTGCCTGCAAAGGGGATGCAAAGAGAAGCACTGGTCCCTGTGGGCCAGACTCCTCCCAGGGCTATGTGTCTCCTGCTTCCCTCCTCTGCTGGGAGCATGTTATCGTAGAATCCCAGACTGGTTTGGGTTGAAAAGGACCTTAATGCCCATCCAGTTCCAGCCCACTGCCACGGGCAGGGACACCTTCCACTAGACCAGGTTGCTCCAAGCCCCGTCCAACCTGGCCTTAAACACTGACAAGGATGGGGCATCCCTTATCCTCCAGGAATAATCAGAGTCTCTCTCCCTGACTGCTGGCCCAGAGCCAGGGTGGTCCCATTCCTGTGAGAGGGGTTCTGGCTGGTTCAGCTCCTGCACCTTCACTGGAGTCAATACCAACCACCTCTTCTGCTCTGCAATTCCCCTGTTGTTTCCTAGCTCTCCCAATCAGCAGCAAACCATCTCCCCTTGAAGATTTTATTTAGCAAGTGGAGTTGCTTGTGCTCACGTAAGGATGGAAAGGAAGAGGTTCCTAATTGGGGTTATTTTGGAATGCATTTTACAATGGGCTGGATTTCCTGGATGTGGTCACCAAACGGCACCAGTGCTGGATTACTGCATCGAACTCACCCGCAGTTTATTGTCTTGCACCTTAAATATACCCCATCCTTTGCAGTTCCTTGGTGGCCGGTGTTTGTGATGATTTAAACATCTCCCTCACTGCTGCATCCTAAAATCTCTGGCTGCAGCCAGTGTCTGGAGCTGGCAGGCGGGAGCAGGGATGAGCCTGCATCCCCCCGGGTGTGGCCACAGCACTGCAACAGCCTCCTTTTGCAGGGGTGGTTAAAATCCTGCCCTATCTCAGCCATGTTTTGGCTAAAGAGAGACTTGTTCTTTAAGAGGGGAGGGGGAACTTTTGGTGATTGCCCTGGGAGAGCCAGGATCCCAGCCAAGAAGAAGGAGGGGTGTGCTCTGTGTGTCTCCTACAACCTGCAGTCCCCTTCTCTGCCCACCCCTGCCCACCCCTGTCCTCCTGGGCGGGCAGGAGGGAGGAAGTGGTGATGAGTGCAACTGCTTGTGGGTCTGTGTCCTGAGGATGCACTAAGGCTCTTGGGCTGCAAGGAGTGATCCCAAGGGAGGGCTGGGTGGCTGCCACTCTGCTTGGGAAGCCCCCGGGGACACTGATCCATCTCAGAAAGTCCCAGTGCAGCCAAGCCATACCCCGGGCACTGCTTGCTTCACCCCACGCTCTACTGGGATGCACAGAGGTCCCTGCAGGAATGGGACGGCCCCTGTCTTGAGGTGTCCTGTGGCACAAGCAGCTCAGACTCATCAGGGAGCATGCAGGGTGGGCCAGGCTCATTGCAGTCTCTGGAAGGCTGTGAAGCAAGTCCTTGCAATCCTTTCCAGCCTTGTGGATGATGAGAAGGTGCCAGGGTGAATTTACCAGGGGCAAATCGTGCCAGAGCAGCGTGACTGCCTTCTGTGAGGAGATGGCTGACTTTCTGCCTGGATAAGGGAGGAGGAAAGGGATGTTGTTTACATGACCTTAGCAGGGCTCTTGAGAAGATTTTCTGCAGTATCCTCATGGCCAAATGGGGTAAATAAGGACAAGGTGGGTCAAAAAGTGGCTGGACTTTCCAGGCTTGGTGGGTTGTGCAACACCTGGTGGGAGAAATGGGCTGATGGTGACCTGCAGGAGCTCAGCAATGGGAAGTGCAAAGTCCTGCATCTGGGATGGAGTCACCCCATGCAGCAGGACATGTCTGGGGCTGACAGGATAAAAATCAGCCTTGCAGGAAAGGAGCCACATACATCACATGAGCAGAGCCAGAATGTTGTCAGCCAGGAGCTGGAGCAAGAGGGGAGAGGATGGGAAAGACCCTGAAGAAACCAGGAAGGGTTGAATGGGGACATGAAGACATGGACAGGGAGGTCATTTAAGGAGTGTGAAGTGTCCAAGGATAAATGGAAAGTGAAAAGGAGAATGCTTTTATGTATTGGTACTGAGGAACTTGACTGCAGTGGTTTGGGAAGGTCTTGGAGCCTTCTGGTGGGATGAGAGGTCACTAAATGTGTGGGAGGTGACAGGGCTGGGTGACCAGGAGGAAAGGAGATGTGCCACCATCCCCAGAGGTCTGCCAGATGGAAGGCTGAGAGGGGATCATAGAATCCCAGACTGGTTTGGGTTGAAAGGGACCTTAAAGCTCATCCAGTTCCAACCCCCTGCCACCGGCAGGGACACCTTCCACCAGACCAGGTTGCTCCAAGCCCTGTCCAACCTGGCCTTGAACACTGCCAGGGATGGGGCAGCCACAGCTTCTCTGGGATCCCAAAGTCCCAAGATCTCCCATCCCTGGATCTCCCAGGGCAAGCTGGCCACAAACAGTGGGATGCCAACCTGGGCTGTCAGATCAGCAAGAGAAGGAGAAACCTCTGAAGGGAAGAAACTTCAGAGGTCAAGGAAACTGGAAGAGGTTATGGAAATTTTTCATGTGCAGCGTATCATGTCCAGCATGAAGATGACTACACCAAGCACCTTCCAGCCCCTGGAACAGGAAAGACGACAGTTTGGACCTCCAGGAACCCTGCACATCACAGGCATGACACAGACTTTATCATGTAGGAGAGCTGGGCCATGCCTTCCCATTCCACCTGCATGCACTTCTTAAGCCCCACCCCCAGCTGTGTCCAGAAGTTCCTTTGTTTCTCCTGCTCCCCATGCCAGCCTTGGACACCATCTTCTCTGTGTCCCTTTGGGTGCCATGCAGCCATGCTGCTGACCCTCCCGGCTTGCACACAGCCACTTTCCCCTCTATCCAGAAGAACATTTCATTTGGAGACTGATGTTGTCCTCATAGATTTAGAGGTCTGATTGCCTTTGAGCCACTGACTCTAAGGCTGCGAGCCTCTGGTCTCCTGGGGCTCCATTAGCAGGTAGAAAAGGAGGTGGAAGAAGACATAGGAAACTCCTGTAGTGGAGCCTAGGCACAAGCTTGTGTGGGTGGTTGATATAATGTGGAGAGACAGTCTTACATCTCACCAGGACCTGCCTCTGCCCTGAAGGGCTTGCAGCAGGAAAGGCTGTGGGAGGAAAGTCTTCTGCAGTGGAAGACC